AGAGAAATGTTTGGGTGAAAATACTAGATTTTAACTTTTAGTAATAAATAATACCTCAGACTAAAGTTAGGATAATACAATTGACATTTCTGGATTCCTTGCAGGTCAGGGAATATTTTGAATGTAAACTTCATATATTTTGCACAAAAGATAAAATATTTGCTTTGTGTAAACCAAATTATTACATTAGATCTGAAATTTGTATGTCTAATGCAAAATCCATGATGTTTATATTCAAAATGATCATCATATTGTAAGAATTCCAGCAATGTAAATTATATTCTGGCCGGGTAATTTGTATGAATTTTATGAGCTAAAACATATATCTTCAGTAAATAAACAAAGAAATATTCTTCAAGGACACTATCTGTCAATCAAAATACTCTGCCCTAGCTGGGTCGGTCCCTCCCTCCCTCCCCACTCTCCCTCCCAACCAGAGAAGCGTTTCAGAAAAAATAGTATATTTACATTTTTAGAAATAAATAATAACTCAGACTAAAGTTAGGATAATATAATTGACATTTCTGGATTCCTTGCAGATCAGGGAATATTTTGAATGTAAATTTCATATATTCTGCACAAACGATAAAATATTTGCTTTGTATAAACCAAATTATTACATTAGATCTAAAATTTGTATGTCTAATGCAAAATCCATGATGTTTATATTCAAAATAATCATCATATTGTAAGAATTCCAGCAATGTAAATTATATTCTGGCCGGGTAATTTGTATGAATTTTATGAGCTAAATAAAAAAAAAAAAATTATACTTCACCGCGTATATGAGTAGATGCACCGCGGAAAGTGAAAGTCCAGTTCTGGCAAGGTACCACGTAAATGAGAAATCGTGGAAAGTGAAACCGTGTAAAGCGGGGTAATACTGTATTTAAGTAATTATTAGATTTTTAATTTCCTGTATGTTGGCCTGGCAAATTAATGATAGGCATTTACAGACCTAGGTATAAAGCTTGACGTTGCATTCTGGATTGAGCAAAAACTGTTTTTAAGAAAAAAACTGCTTTTTCAACTTGTATTTTTGGGTAGATATACGTAACTTCATTTTTTTTACTTGGTTACACGCAATAGACAGGCGATGTAGCTATGGTGACATCTAACTTGGCGACCTGTCGATTCCACACACACACATGATCATTATGTCAGGTCTTACCAGGGATGTGATTTCTCATTTTTTTCTTGTTTTCAGGTGTTTTCCCCTCGTTTCAGGTGACCAACATGAATAGTGTAGATACGTTGAGATTTTTTTTTGGGGGGGAGGATGGGGGGTGTCATAACTATGATGAAAGAAATGTTTGACAATAAATAACAATAATTGGCCCTCTAGGATCGATAGGTCTGCCACACAAGGACGATGAACCAGTACTGTATACTGAGTATAGTGGCTGCACTCTACATGTTCATACATTACATTATATACTCTATTTCTTATTCATCGATTCTTTAGTATTTCATTGACTAAAGATCAATGACGTCATACAACCACTATTAGAAGCATTATAATATGCCCCTCCACCCTATCCACTTGAGCCACCCTCCCCTGCCAGGGGCTGAGCATTTTTCAATATACCTAAGATTCCATAATCATTTTGCACTTTCTGATGATAACAATTTATTCTTTAACCCATGATATATTTCATAGTTGTTTAGGCAATTTACTATGGCGTGTTTGTATCCCCCAGGAGATCAGGGTTTTGTGTGTGTGTGTGTGTGTGTAATAATAATAATAATAATAATAATAATAATAATAATAATAATAATAATAATATTAATAATAATAATAATTAACGGTTTATTGAAAGAGCATAGCAGCCAGAAGGCTGAAAATATACAGTTACATAATTGGGGAATGGGTTTCGATTTACAAATAACATACAAGTAACATAAGTGATACAAATAAGACATATAATAACTAGATGGGGAAAAGCTCAAACTAAAGGGCATTTCAACATAGTGACAGTGCAAGAAGTGGGATTTAGTGTGTGTGTGTGTGTGTGTGTCCCAGGAGGTCAGGGCTGTAGGGCATGTTTGTGTGTGTTCCCCAGGAGGTCAGGGCTGTAGGGCATGTTTTTGTGTCCTCCAGGAGGTCAGGGTTGTCGGGCATTTGTATCTATTCTTCAGGAGGTCAGGGCTGTAGGGCATGTGTGTGTGTCCCCCAGGAGGGGGACCCTATGATGTGTAGGAACATAAAACTCTCCAGCAGTAGGTATAGAAGCATGTTAAAGCAGAGGAGGTTGCAGCAGGAAGAAAGTAAGAGGAAATTTTTGTGAAAGAAACAGTTAGAATCAAAGAAAACAGAGTGTGAGGAAATGGCTCAAAAATTAAGGAAGAGCAGAGAGGCCTTCCATAACAAAAACAGAAGTGTTACTCTCTCTGAAAAACTAGAAGATGCAGTTAAAACGAAGAATAAAATAACACCAAATGAGTGAATATTACATGGGAAAGAAAATTAAATATTTTGTTTGTATATATCATGGAACATGCTTATATTTCTTATTTTAGTACAACATATGCTATTGAAACCCCAGTTGCTGGTGCATTAGAGGTAAATCCCTTTGGTAAGTATTAAATTTTGAATTCTCACACCATACATTTAAAAAAAGCTTACCTTTAATTTATCTTCTCTCAATAATGGTGCACAATTAAAAATACTAAACAAATTCAAGTTTAGTAACTACTAAAATTTGTAAAGGAATTATTAAGACTACCCGGTATATGCATAAAAACTTCATTAATTTCTAAACTGAAATAAAATACTTGTGCATGAAGCGAGCCTTACATCAGAATGAAAGAGCTGTGGCTAGCCTGTCCTGTGTGAAATATTACTGTAGGGTATTGTAATTATACATTTTCAAATAAGCAGGATATACTTTGCGAATATTGAATATGTGTGGTAAAATATCAAATGTGGATAAGTGGGGCTGCAAATATTGAGGTACAGTATTCCCCTACTAATAAAAAAATATATACTGCATTGCCATTTGGCAATCATTTCACTAAGGACACAGGAGACAGGAGCACGCTTCCCGAGAAATATGTATTCCCTTTATGTTTTGACCTTATGATAATCATTTCTTTTATTTATTTTGCACATTCTGTTTGAATGATTGTGTGTGCATGTAACCCAGTAAATATATGTATATATATAAATAAAACAAATAAATGGAATGAAATTGCATATATCTATCCAAAAATATGAGTTGAAAAATAACAATAGCACAGCTTGGCCTGGTAAGGAGAGAGCTAGGGAGATGTAGCCAAGTCCACACACACACACACACATTCACTTCACACACATACCACCTATGCTCTTCACACATCTATGCTCTTCATTTTTCTAATTTATTTTAGCAACATACCATTTCCACAGAGATGCACAGTGAGTTCTGTTATAACGCGTGTTTTGACAACGCGAATTGGCTCTAACGCGATTTATGAATAGAGGAACGATATTTGTATAACGCGAACGCTTGTTTGCTGTAACGCGATTTTTGCTCACTTTTTCTCCAATTTTGTGGTATTAACTGTAAATATGGTAAAGAAGAATATCTCCAAGAAGCGTACTGGTGATCGCATTCCCAGTGATGATCGTAAAAGAAAGGCTATAACCCTTGAAGAGAAGCTCGATGTTATCTATCTCAAAATCACCCTTCTCCCCCATCAAGTTATATTCATATTTTTTCAAGGTAAAGTGTTATATTTACTGTATGATTTCATTATTAGATATGAATGTAACATTTATTTAGACTGTGCTATCCTTTGTGTAAGGCTAACTACTAAATTTTTTCGATTTTGAGTAGTAATCTGCACCTAACCCTATTTTCTCCGTAAGCCCTGTTATTTCTATTACGCGAATTTCTATAACACGATGTTTTACAAGAACACAACTATCGCGTTATAGCAGAACTGACTGTACTGTAAAATTTATATTACTACTGTATTTAATTTTATAAGCCATTTTATGTGTATTTGACTAAAATCTAATTCAATGTACAATCATCAACAAATGTCCTGTCACCTCTTCTGCTGTTGCACGAACTCCAAGAGTCAGACTCGTGAATCTGAAGCAGCTGTGGACTGAATAATGCATCAGTGTCTACTGGTTCATGAATCTGAATCTCAAGGTTCGTACAACAGCAGAAGAGGCGACAGGACATTTGTTGATGTCTATACAATACAGGTATTAATGAGTGATGGAACAACCTAATCCCCCTATTTTCAATAAGCCTTTAGTCTTGCCAACCATGGGTCTTTTCAGAAACCTAACCCCCGTGGTTGGCGAGGGACTAAAATGTACTGTATAGCAAATTTTGGTATACTGTATAGTGGTAATACTGTAATTAAATAACAAATCTTTTAAAATGATAGAATTAGGGTTGAAGTGAGAAAAAGTAGTGTCTTAAAATAAGTGTTATGTTTTCAGCTGTGCAGTTCATTGTGATTGGCTGAAATGAAAACAAACAACTATGGCAGTGCATTCTTATTGGATTCCATTAGAATTCTTTGTTGTTATTTATAATTTTTCTTAGTTTTAAGCAAAAAAAGAGAAAGACAAACAAACTTCACAATAAAGAGGCTTCGTTGCCACAGGTATACCTGTAAATGAGACTACAGGTAATACAGTGTACAGGGCATTATGAAATAAAGAATGCAAAAATATTTGGCATGTGAAATAACAAGGGTCGACTGTAGTATGAAGTAACGATACCATATTGCCATTCTAGAATGTTCTCCAAAAATCGAAATTTCTTAATAAGATGAGAAAAAATGAATTATACAAAGGTGGATTCAATAATACTGTACCAAATAAGTTTTCAGAAATCAGTTATCCTCAAGAAAATTGCCTTTCAGTTTACTGATATGAAACTGAGGCTAAAATAAATCTTCTACTTGCAGCCTAATATTGTAAATGTTATTTTGACTTAAAATGGCCATGCTATGATGTGAATTACAGTGAAAGCAAACAAAGCAAAGATTCTTACCCAGGCTTTGGTGGTGATGGGGAAGACAGTGGGGTCACGGGTCATGGCAGTCACTTTCAATCGAATAAATTTATCTGCAGAGCCAGACAGTCCAACCCGCCACTTCCACTCTCCTTGCTAAGGAGGAAAAAAACTGGCTGAAATCAAAAGCAAGTGCACTCACATACTTTCTATTTATTTGTTGTGGTATTCCCCTTCTATGTTAAGGCTCCAAATGTGGTCTACCCGTCACTTCACACAAACCAATATCACCCATCAGCAGTATGTCCTTTGTAAATAATCACTGGATACCATGCCCTCTGCTAATTCATGTACTCTGATACTTTCCAGATGTTCATCCTTACATTTCTAGCGTCCTTCATGCCATTTCCTTTTAGGTACAGGTATTCCCCTCTTCTCCTACCATCCACCTTAGAATCATACACCCTAAAAAAATCTCTTACTTTACATTCTTTCAATGTATCTATACCACCTGTTGAATACCTAACACTTCCTTCCTAACCACATCTCCTTACACAGTATCTGTATTTCTTATTCCCTACATCCTACTCACAACATATACTGTATTACTCTCAAGCATGCCATTTCTGTCACCTATAATTTGTACCTTCCTCTTGCATCCAGAATTTATGCTTCACACCCATATAAGAAAGTTGTCTTAATGATTCCCCTGTATGTCCTCAATTTTGACTTTTTATCTTTATCTTTATTTGGTGCTTCTATTCATTGCTCATCATTTCATTTGCTAACAAATCTACTTTTAGTTATCTAAAACACTCTATTTCCTTCATTATATGCAATTACTGTAACCTTTGATAACTCATAATATTGTATATGGTTCTCTAACAATCCTGAATTATATGATTTTCCATGTTATTGAGGCACTTTCCTTCCAGTCTTTTGCCTCCTTCATTTCTTTCAGTTTTCATAATAATCCCTTGCAACCCACCCCAATACTCAGGGATTTCAACTTCATTTTCCTCTTACCAGGCCTTGGTGATGGTGCCGAAGCCATATCTTTGAGGGTTGAATAGCACTTTGCACAAATACAGCAGTGAAAAAAGTAGAGTGACTGGGGGTGGGTATCCTCACACTAGGTTGAATGATGCTTAATTGAGCAGCAGAGCCTCCCATGTGGGCACCATGTGTTGTGCCATTCTGAGATTGCATCATCATAACTCGGGATATTGCAAATTACAGGTATAGTATGTATAAAATAATTATGATTTATAAAATTCAGAGTTATCAAGGGTCTCCTGTAACTTCACTCTTAAAATCCTTTCCCTCTACAGCACAGAGTGGCCATGATTAAGGGCACCGAACTTTCCCTTCACACTCTATCATTTGATCTTTCAAATTACCTTTCTCATGTGTATTTTTCTATGCTGCTCCTCTTCCACAAAAAGGTCTAAGGACATCAATCTTCTTTACCCCTATTACTTCATACAACACCTAAGTGTGCCACACTAGCAACACCTTTAATACTCCAAACCTACTCAAGGTCAAACTTCTGGTCATGCACATACTGCTACTTTCTGAATGTTACACCTACCCACATCCATGACCTCTCTTAACTATTCTTCCACCTCCTTTTTAGGTCTTCACCTTTTTCTCATACTAGTCACCACTTAATTATATTTTCTCATTAGCAAGCTTTTGTTTCTCATTCACTTAATATATCCATACCATCTTAGCAAACCCTCAGTCCAACATTTCACATAGTGATCTAAATTTAAAGCACATCATTTTCACTGTTACTTATCTCTTCCTCTTGTATCTAAAGTTAATGATTAAGGCCAATAAAATGATACCTGTACCTGTATTGGCACCTTAATTCACAGACATTACAACAGTGGAACCCTTCCTTTTTACATCACCTCCATCCAACTGACAACTCTCAAATTCCAAACAGAATTTCCTAACAATCTTAAGCTAATACTGATTCCTTCCACTAAGTGCAATGCATGCCAAAAAATAAACTAAGGATGCCTTTATATAGGAAATATTCTGACTATTATAAGCAGTAATGTTGAAGTTTAAGGGATTGTGCAGTATAAATGAAAAATTAATGTGAATTAATAAACTGAAGTAATTGATTGTCAAACAAAAATTAGCACGAATATATGGATGCCAAAACGTGTACTTAGTGTTTACAAAAAATATATTAACTTTGGAATATTTATATTTTTAATTTTACCTTGGCTATTTGATATCTGTACAATGAAAAACTAAACTGATTTAATAATGAAATATACTACAGGTAGTTTAAATATTTCCATTAAAATGACAGCATGATAAATCGAATCTTTTAAACACTGACATGCATTTAAAAATCAAAGTCCTCTTTTGAAATAATTAATACAATTTCGTCACTCAAAACTGCTCGTTACTTCATAATCTCATTCTTTGAAATTTCTCATTAATTCTTCCTAAGTCATTTTCAATACTGTACTCTACAAGTTCACCACTGTTCAGACATACACACTTACCTCTGCCATTGGTACTTTGAGGATCCATGTGAAGGTGTTTGGATCAAAGACAGCACCCCCAACAATATTCCCATCAGGACGCACCAAGTGAGGTTCATGAGTAACATGGTATCGATCATCAGTGTCTAGCCTAAGCACCAGGTTTTGCCCAACTGTAAAGTCCACCATGAAGCTTGAACCTGTTTGCAGCTCGGTGCCTCTGTAGACTTCCTCGTGGATCTGAAGATTAAAATATGTGTTGTTTAATGCACTAGATAGACTAACCACCCAAAGGGCTGGTAAGTGGTGAAAATATTTACAAAAAATATTAACTTTGTAAAATGAAAAATTAAATAATCTCAGGAATCCTTCTTTTATCTGGGGCTTTACAAAACATTTATTTAACACGCTTATAAGGTTTTCACACATATATATGCATGGTCACCCAATCCCAGTTGGTAGGGAATCCATGCTTGCTTTTTCACTTTCATAATCATTATCCATAATAATGTTAATAAACAGTACAGGTATCCTTCAAGATACGAATATTCTTGATACAAAAATTTGCTTATACAAATTTCCTAAGCTGACATCACTATTTCGAGAAACAAAAGCTTCCTCTGCTTAAGTGAATTTGGGCTGGGCAAGAATTTAAATTTTGCAGGCCAGGAGTCAACTGACATGGCCATCTTGGGGAGAGAAGTGCAGAGATAGATTCTCACTCACTAATTATACTCCCCTCCTGCATCTCCCATAAGCCTGCATCCTTCCATACATTGTGTATGTGAAGTGATCTCTCTTTATCGATGTGTATTTGTATCATTCTTTTGTTGTGCCCTTTGTTATGGCATCCGAATGTTCTGCTAAATATTCGGCTACCCTAAAGAAACCATGGAAGGCTGTGACTCTTGAGACAGAGCTGGAGGTAATTAAATGTCATGAACTCGGTGATGGTCCTACCAAGATTGAGAAAGAATTTGACCTAGCTGCTTATACTGTGGCCACAATTTACAATCATGCTGAGGAAATCAAGAAAGCAGTTGGAAACGTTATGTAAGTAGGAGTAAGCAAGCTGTGATGGACAACATGGAGCATCTTCTCCAGCTGTGGATAGAAGACCAGACTTCATGTGGCGCCCCGTCCACTCTCATTATCAAGGAGAAGGCTTTGTCTTTCTGGGAAAACTGCAGGAGAGACAGCACAGCTGACCAGATAACCATTGTGAGTGACTTTAAGGCCAGTTCTTGGTGGTTTGAAAGGTTCAAGCATTGGACAAATCTTCACAACTTGAAGGAGAAACAGCCAAAGAGCCCACTCACTCTCAAGGTTGAAAATGAAGACCTTGACCTCGTTCATAAGGAGTTCAATTTATTCTGGGCCATGGAAAGGAGTGGTGCAGTTGCCTCAAGTGTGGAGAGGGACATCAGAGTCAACACTGAGATTCGACAACAACTGAGCAGCAATGCCAGACAACCCAGCATATCCTCTTTATTCAAATGCATCACCACCTTCAAGCCACTACCTATACCTTCTGCTTCCAGTCCCACTCCTTCTACAAACGTATTTTCTTCCATTCCTTCCACATCTGGTGTGACTGTGGCGTCCTCGGTAGACAGCAGTAATAAGGTGGACAACCCTCCTCATCTCATCAAGTAAGACCCTTACTCAGCCCACCCCCTTGTGGTGGAGAGCCCAGACTGCCCTCCCATAAGGTTATATACTAATGCTAAAGTTAAACAGTATTTTTTTTTCATGTAATAGGTAGTAAATTAGAGTAGTAGTTGTATACTATTTATCATTATTTAGGTAAAATTTTGTTCTTGTTTGTGAACCGATTTCATGATTTTGGGGTATGATATTGGGGTATTTTTGTCATTGGGAACCGAACCCTATTTTTTCCATATGTTTATCTATTCGTGATACATTAATTCACCTAACGCATATTATTTTTGGAACCTAACCAATTCATATCTCGAGGGAGGGATACAGTACCTGTACCTGTATGTATGTAGATGGGCATGTGCAATATGCCCTCGAGGGAAACTTATGTACTACTAAATGGTACTAATTTAAAAAGTGAATGGTGGGATGAGGAACTTATATTACATATTTATGAGGATCATGATAGTGATTTTGAAGTAAGTGTGATCGAAAATAATGTGAGTATTGAGAGAGAAAGTGATTGAAACCAGACAAAAGTTGTGATTTACAATGTATCAGCTAATAAGACAAGCCTACATCTGGACTACCTGCCTCGCACTCTCACCTCTACACCCTAAAAGAGGAAAACAGCTTATGTGGGCATGGGATAATGCCACATTTATGCCCAAATATTAAAAAAATTTTGAGTGTTGGTGTTTAACAAGATGCTTTTGTCTGATAAAGTCTGAATCAAACTACAGGTTCTCCTCGACTTACAACCTACTCGACTTACGACCTACTCGACTTACGACCACCCGGACATACGACCGCTGCAGTCGTATAATTTTGTTTTCAAATTACGTACGTATTTTCTAGTACCAAAACGTTTCCATCCCGTACGACAGTGTGGCGTGGGCTTGGCCACCTCGTAGTGTACAGCATCCACGCCGTAGTCCGCTCAGTTGGTGTTTGGCAGTCGTTGGTGCTAGTGATCACGCTGTGTACTGTACTGACAAAATTTTCGTTTCTAATTCCCTTTAAAATAACTGAGAAGCGTTAAAGTGAGAGTTCTGGTGGTGCTCAGAAGAAAAAGAAACAGTCAATTACTTTTGAGTTGAAAATGACAATAATAATGCAATATGAAAATGGAAAAACAGTAGCAACCCTTTCACTCAACCTTGGCTTCTCTCACTCGACAATATCAACAATTTTGAAGGACAGGGCAGAGGCATTTGCTACTATTAATAAGGGAATGCAAATGTTTGAAGAAATGGATAAAAATTTTGAGTGTTTTGCAAAAGTTGACTGACAGATCCAAGATGCACTTGCTTGCTACAGGGAGATTTACAATGAAAAGAAAAGGCAAACTGTGCAGTCTAAATTGGACATATATTTTAAGAAGTCCCTCAATGCTGTCTCCTCATGCCTCACCACTGCTGCCTCTTCACTCCTTAAAGATGATCCAATACCTTCAACAAGCAAGTTTGTTAGCCTGTCTGAAGAAAGTGAAATTGATGACCCACCCAGCCCTGTCTTCTCCTCTGCTTCATCCAATAAATATAGTCTCCATGTTTAATTAAAAAATTATTGAGGCCCCGTGTGCATTCAGCTGATTACATTAAAGGTAAGTGCACATTAACACTTTATTCATTTTTCATTATTAATTACTTTTACTATACCGTATTTCATTTTAGATTTTCTATGTATTATTTTCGCATTTTTGACTTACGACCAATTAGACTTATGACCTGGTCGTCGGTCCCTAACCCTGTCGTAAGTCGAGGACTGACTGTACTGTACTGTACTAACTTTTAGAGGGTACTGTACCAGTTAGTAGTTGGCCCCCATTTTTTTTTGCCCTCTAACATTATTACAATACTGTACAGTATTATAAAAAAGGTACCCCATGTATCTGTATAACAGAAGATTTTTAAAAATCTGTTTACGTTTAAAAATACACATAATACTATGACATGAGTACAGAGTTGATAAGTACGTATGAATTTTATCTTAATGGGGAATACTTACTGTATTTCTATTTTAATAAAAAAATAAATAAAATTCCACACATCCACTTTCATGTACAGTACTGTACTGTTAATTCATAGTTCTAATTCCTGCTGCCTATAAGTAATTTTCTATGAATGTCAGCTGTGGGCTGTCAACATCGTGGATGGCCCAGTGAGTGATCTTTCTGAGCAATGTACCATAAATAACACAAACTTTAATACATTGTAACTTTGATAAAACTTTGATATTATATTTATTGTTTCTTTTACTGAAATGTTTTATTAAAGTTTTGGGTTAGTTAAAAGAAACTTCCCTGGCAGTATTTTAATGTCAAAAGTAGCTGCCAATGGGAGGGTTAAATGTTTACAACAGTCTCATTAAAATGTTAAATATCACAAAAGTTTCCATGCTAAGAAGGGAACTTTCTATACTTATATAGTTATACAGATATGGGTTCAACCTTTTAATATGGAAAAAGCAAAATGAAACAACCAAAACATTTGGTAAGGTATATTCAGTACAGTGGGTTCTCATTTTACACAATTGGTTGAAATATGATCGTAGTTATAGCTTACGTGGAAAGCCATGGGTAGCGCAGGTAACGGTATAGCATTAATTCAGTGATCCTTTGCTTATTTAGGTTGATTTGACCAAAACGGGGTTCTGGGGCACTCAAATTACTGAAAAATCCAGTGCTTGAGAGATAGTAAGTGCTGGCAACAGTTAGGAAACGCAGGAACGATCAGCTGATACCACTCTCTACTGTAACCAAGAAACCGTAATAACTCATCTGGGATTGAGTGTTGGATTTTTGGGGTAAAACTAATAATTTTTCAATAATGTTTTATTAACCCGGAACCAGATGAACCTAAATAATATGGGAATTATGGTGAAATTGCACACTGTTGTTATACTGTAAAAGGGATCGCGGGCTGCTGAGCGGGAGGTGGTGAGTTGTCCTCCCTCCCTCCTTCACCATCCCTTACCTACACACCCAAACTTAGTTTTGTATCTTACTATAATTCATATTTTATTCCTTTATTCATTCATCTTAACTCTTTCGGGGTTTTCATACGTAAATTTGCATATGATCTAAATTATCACTTTAGGGTTTTCATATACACATTTGCATATGAACTAAAAAATTGCAATAAAATAATTTTATGTTTTGTGTATGAATGCTAGATATGCAAGACACACATATGGCAATGTAGGTGTGATGTGGCACCTATGTTACATGAATGACCAAACCAGTTGGCCTTTGTGGTTCATCGGCACAGGATGTAACCTTGACCTACATTTCCCACTGTTTTCTTGCGGTTTGTGCTGATTTCTCGTTCATCACAGTAATATCATTTATTCATAACAGTGTTGTGAGAGTTTTGAACCATGCCTTGTGTTGCTGGCGAAGGTGGAAGAGTGGGAACGCATAAAAAGTACAAGGAGATTGCACCACGTGGTGATAAGTGTGGTGCTTCCTGAGGCCTCTCCCAGTGTCCCTGGCCCTTCTAGTGCAAGTGATAGTTTATCTGGCCCTTCAACAAGCACTTCTAGTGTGAAAGGAACTGCCCAGCATGTTGTTGTGGCTA